CCCTGATCTGATTGATCGTTTCTCACGCGCTCAGACTGCTCTGGGCGTTACCTTTCTTACTCTTGGTGGCTTCATATCCTTCAGTTACAACCTGACGAGCGTCAAGTTTTAGCTCCTGAGCTTCTCAAGGTGTGTGTTCCGGACATTTTCATGTACCCGTTAGTTGGTTTCAATAGTATACGGCGTGTTCAAAAAAGTGTAATAAGTGTATATGTAGCGTAGCTTATGTAAAGCTATGCTACGACGCGACTGAACAGAACCGAGTGATATTGAGCAAAAGGACGACGGATACATGAGCTCTCGTAGGTAGTTTATATGTCGTTCGCTCGGAATATAGTTCTACGGGCGCCATATGGTTATACGGCGCCCTCTCAGTTGTAGTGATTAACCGCGTCCAATGGGACGCGGTGGTTACTGAATTCATCATGCCGCGGCGGCGGCTTACAAAGCGTATCAACGGTAATATTATACTACCGTTACAGATCGCCCGTGCATCGTACACGCGTTACTTTGTCACCGTAGAGGTATATCGACCTTTTACAGTCATAGCATCGACTCTTTCCTAAAGATAACAATGTCAGATCGCCTTAGTGTCCGCTTTCTATGGCCGAACAGGGTCGTGCTCTCATCGCAGCGATAAACCGACACGCGGCGGCGTGGCGGTCTCTCATACATCGACCATACGTTCCCGACACTACCGACCGCGACGAATTACCCAACGCCCCCTTCCTACTGCATTCCATTCCTCCTTCTAGCTAGGTAGCGTCGCTCGCCTACCTATTCACCTCTTTCGAATCGCCTCTAGCGCTCGAGCACATATTTCGAGATATCGTACGTGGTTTTGCGTCTCGACGCGTCCTGATCACCGTACTTCGAATGCAGAATCGTCATGCCAGAACGCGGTACCGCCACCTTTGCGGGTTACAAGATCAGCTTACCCGACGCCGAAAGATGGGCGCGGAAGCATGGCTGGCTGGCCGACGACGAGGACGGCATAGACGCGCCGATAGCAATCGCGCGGGCCTAGGACCGCGCTTGCCTGAACGGGCACGCCTCCATCCTCGTGACCGACTGGCCCAAGGCGCTGCTCAGGCGGAACGCCGACGGAGAAGACGAGGTCGCTCGCCGGGGCACGCCCATCGCCCTCATCGCGCGCCAGACGCAATACGACTCGACCGTGATGTTGTCCACCTGCCAGCCGATGGAAGAGCGCGAATCCGACCGCAAGTTCAAGGCCATACTCGAATATACGTGCATATGTGAATGAGCTCATACAACGCAGTGCACGTCGAGTACATTATAACAACAATAACAAGAGTTCAACGCCAGCTTGGGCCCCGTAGCTGCTCGAGCATCGCCTATCGTGACTTTGGGATGCATTCAACGTTGTGGCGTATGCCAGATCAACGCGTCCGAGTCTCCCCACTACGCCTATGGCCGCCTGATGACATGTTAGTCGATGCGCGTCGTGCCCTCCGATGCATAGCGTTCGTGCTCTTGATCATGTCCGTCACAGGCCATGCCGCCTTGTAGTGGTCCAGCGATGGAAAGGCCTCGGTAGTCTGCCATGCGCATACGTTTAGCTTCATCATCTCTGAGGATCGAGGGAACCCGCCTTCTCGAATACCCTCCATATGCAGCGTCCGTCTTGCTGTGCGACACGCTTTTCCTCGTCTAAAGGTCGATGTACGAGACTAGGAACGGTGTTCTGTGGAATATCCATGGGTAGCCATGAATCAGCATCGTGCGTGACCAGAGTCAAATCGCAACTTACACGCAGTTTCTTGTACGCTTCGTCGTCTCAGTCAAGAGCTTCAGATAGGGCATAACCTCTACGAAACCCGCATGCAACATCCGCGTGCGGCTTAGGAGTGATCACCTTCGCTACAGGAACAGAGGAGAGGGAGGAGTAGCGCGCTAAGTGGGAGCTCTCCGCATCTTCGTCTTGGTGCTCGCTACCGGGCCACTCAACTGAGGGAGGCGGGGCCCTGGGTAAGTTGGCTGTTGGCGAGGAAGTTACAGACGGCGAGCGATGCAAGCACCTGCTGATGTGGAGCCACAGAGTCCTCGACGACGAAGCATCTTCTTCCATTGACGGTTTGGAGGGCGCAGAGACGTAGATGTCAGCAGCATGAACGAAACCACAGACCAATGGGTGTGACGAAAAGCAGGCGAAGGTGGCGTACGGAGACCGAAGGCCAGATGTGACGCGAGCAAAGCCTGATAAGGCTAAGGTGCGTTCACACGGTTAGGTTCTCGAGCGGCACAAGCAGAGAGTCACAGATCTCGGATTGAGCACTCGAGTAAGGTAAAACAAGAAACCAAAAAGGTGAGCTCCCGACGACGAGGTCGCTTGACTTTATACCCTCGTCGTCGTCAGATGGAGCATGTGGTAGTAGAATGATAATCAAAAGGGAACGGCGCGCCAGCGCCGGCTTGCTCGAAAAGGAAATATAGTCTCGGTCCGACCTCCGGGAGAACCGGCACGTTACATCCGCCCTCCCAAAGTGGGAACCGCTTTGACCAAAAAGGAAAAATCCCGACGCTCCTTCACCGCGCCTCGCGCTCCTTCATCTTGCGCTTCTCATTACGCTTCTCCTCGCCGATCATGACACCCCTGCAGTCTTCAGCAGGGCGTAAGCGATGACCTTGCTATTCGCTCCACCGAGCCCGAGTAGATCCTCCACTCCGCCCG